CCCCCCCCCGGCGCGGGGCCGTGGTACGGTCGGCGGGAAGGAGCCGCGGCGCGGGGCGGTGCGCACCACTGAGCCGGCGGCTCCCGCGGGCGAGGCGGGACGGGCCCGGCCGTCCGTCCTGACGGCACCGGCACCAACACCGACCTGCCCGGCACCGGCACCGGCACCGGCACCGACCTGCCTGGTGAGTGCTGCCGCCCTCCCCCCGGCTGCTGCCCGGAGCGTGCAGTGCGCGTTGTCAGCGCGCGTCCCCTTGCCAGTGACTTAGTGCCGCTTTATTATTATTTTTTTCCTTTCAATCTTCTGTTTCCCCGCCGGTTTATTTGCGTGTGGTTAGGTTTTTCCGCCCCTGCTGCGCGTTCTCCCCGTTTACCGGGACGTGCCGCGCCTGGAAGCAGCTGCCGGGCGGGTCCGTCCCCACCGGGGCTGGCCAGGGCTCTGGGGCTGAGCCGCCCGCGGGTCCCGGACACCTGGGAGGGGTGTCCGCCCTGTGACCGCACGATCGCGGCGTACTTCGTGCCTCCTGCAAAGCGGAGATGCTCTGCCAGAGGGGCCTGGGGCGGCCGGGAGCGGCTCGGTACGGATGGAACCGGCGGAACACCGAGCGCGCTGCGCCGCCCCGCTCCCCCGGGTCCGTGCCGAGCCCTCCAACTCCAGCGCGCCGTGCCGGAGCCTCCTCTGCCGCGATTGTGTTGGGGCTGCTGGTTTTTGTCGAAAGGTTTTTGGGAACAGGCTCCCCGGAGAGGTGGTGGAGTCACCGTCCCTGGGAATGTTAGAAATGAGCAGAGGTGGCACTCGGCCATACGGCTTAGTGGCACGGGGGGACTTGGTCAGAGGTCGGAACTAGATGGTTTTGGAGGTCTGTTCCGATATTAATGATTCCACTGATTGGAGGTGGGGTGTGAAACTCCAGGTCTTACGCCAGAGCAGTTTTGGAGGGTGCGAAACAGTGAGATGTGGCCGTGCCTTTGGAAAGGTGTCCGATGGCCGATTCCCTCGTTAGACACAATTGCCGTGAGGGAGAACAGGGTGAATGTGCCCCTTCATTTTCCTGACGTGCTCCTGAAGAGCAAGAGCCCACCTGCAGGAACGACCCGTCTCGGCTGTGCTCGCTGCAGTGCTTCAGCACGCAATCCTACAGTCTTTTAGGTTGGAAATGCCCGCTAAGATCACAGAATCCAGCCATTAACCCAGTACTGCCAAGCCCACCATGTGCCACTTCTGCACCTGTTTTAAATCCCTTCGGGAGCGGTAACTCCACACTTCTGGGTGTAAATCTGTGGTTTTAGCGTGGGGAGGGCTGGGAGCCAGCCCGTGCTGCTCTGGCTCCGGGGCCTTCCCACGGTCCAGCAGCTGCTCAGGGCTCCGGCAGCTCGGGCTTCWCAAGTCGAGGGCATCACAACTGGCTTGAGCTGCCTTCCAAGGCCAGAAGAAAAGACCCTCTTATTTCATGGAGGAAATGGTTGTCTTTCCCCCAGCAGTGAATCCCGCGTGGTGACCGAGGCCGGGCAGGAAGGAGCGGGGTGGCAGCGCTGCTGGGTCACTGCTGCTGGCCGCTCCCGAGCCGGCCCCACAAGCCCTTGGCATTGCCCTGGATCCCAGTGCCGAGCCTGTGTTCCCAGTGTTCCCAGTGTTCCCTGGCTGTGTCACCAGCCAAGAAGGGCTGGGCTGTGTGGCAGCACCTCTGGATTGTCCCTCTGTAGGGAGGAAGGCTGAGCCCTTCCACAGGTGCCTCTGCTCTTTGTGTCCCTTTAGCAGTAAACTGGGAGATGGTGCTTTCCTCTCTTTCTGCCCTGTCCTTTATTCCTCTGTTTGCTGGGATTTGGGCTCCTTGCRTTGTTTTCTTCCAAAGGACAGGGAGAGATCCTGGTTTTTGAGTGAGCTGCGGGATGAGGAGCCTGCTCGGGTGGGATGCAGAGGKAAGGATTGCTGTTCTGGGCGAGCTGAGGAGCCCGTGCCACCCGCACAGCTCAGATGTGTGACCCTGCAGCAAGCACCCTGTCTGGGCTGCCTGCTGTGGGTGACAGCTTGTCGCAAGGTTTATTGCTTCCGTTCCTGGAAGCCTTTTTGTGACTTGTTTTCGGCCTCGTGTGAAAGCTTGTTTCGGGAGGGGTGGGTGTTCAGACACTCCTCCAGCTCTGAGCTGGTGAGGATTGCTGCTGTTTCACTGCTGTCAGGCTAATATTGGAGATGGATTTCAGGGGAACAGAAAGCAGAAGTAGGTGGGTCTCTTAAGAACCACTTTCTTTAGAAAAGGCAGATAATAGGCAGTGAATTTGGGGAGGAGGTTTTATTTAGGGATTGAAAAGAGAGGATTAAAGCTCTTGGCAGAGAACAGTTTAGTGGAATAACTGATGGGACTTGATCATTCAGAAAAAGACTCTAACGTGTTCCCATCACCAAGAGAGCTTTCAGCTCTTCTTGTCCCAAATTACTCAATAAAAGCAACAAAACTCCTTTTGATTTGAATTCTTTACTTGTGGCCACATAAGGAGTTTCCAGACCTAGCTGTAATTTGTATCTGCTCGAAGAAAACAGCCTGTGGATGTCAAACTCTGTGATATGCTGAAGGTACTGTGGATTTTTTCCAGGATGTTAATTATAGGAATTGGGAGTAGCTGTATCTGCCTTGGAAATTGCAGTTTTTCCCTGCTTGCCCCCTCCTATTGTGTTACTGGCACAGGGCTGTGCTCCTGGATTTGAAGAAGCACAAAGTCACTGCTCGTAAAATTGCCGAGATKAGGAAGGTTTGTGCAGGGGAGAAGAAACAAGAATCAAATTTTAGGCTCAGATTTTGATTCCAAAACAAGTTGCTCATTCTTCTCACAGCTTGAGGTTTGTGATGGAAAGGTTGAAAGCACCCAGCAAGAAAAACAGGCTGGGGAAAAAAAATCTGTAATAAGCTGAACAGAGTGAAATTCAGAATAAACTGTCATCAGAGAGTGTTTATAAACCTGCTGGAGGAAAGGGAAGGAGCAGCCATTCAGATCAATAACAAGGTCTTTTTTTATAACTGTAGAGCTTTAATCATATAGTTTAAAAAAATAATCCTAAATGTGTSCTTTTTATACCTGTGCTGGTAGCTGGGGCTAAATCTGCAGAGTTCATGCTGATCTGGGTAATCTGAATCAAGCTGAATAGTAAAGAGGCTCTTAGGAGGATCTGAAACCCAGGAGGCATTTTTCAAACCTGAGTTATGTCACTTTTTTTAGAGGTGCCTCAGGCAATTGCATTTTAAGAAGACAAAGCTTTTGTTTTCAAGCTGGCCTAGAAAAATGCCAAGGATGAATCCAAAGTAAAGGCTTTCAGAAGTTGTCATTTGTGATTAAGTTGATTTTGCTGTTGTGCACAGAACGCTGCTGCCTTCCCTGGTGCGCCGAGAGCTGGGGCTATTTTTATTTTATTTTTATTTTTATTTCTGCCACCAGTCCTGGCGTACCTGTTYAATTCCAGTGAGCAGTGGTGCACAGGGCGGTCTCACCTGAAAGTGGGTATTTGATGAGAAGGTCAGATGTCTGCCAGCTCCATCTCCAGTGGAACATGAATTACAGGTGCTTTACAAAAGGCAAAATTGGGGTGACACCGGACAGGGGTTGACTTAGATGGGTGTTCTGTAGGATTAACATCTGTCTGTGCCTGGTTTAGCATTTGAGATGTTGGAAATCTCAAAGCCAAGGMTTGGAACCGTGAGCAGAGTCTGTTTCCTTTCCCAGAGACCAGCCTGCATGCACGCAGCAAATCCAAAGCTTTTCTTGGGGCTTCTCACGTTACTTGCAGCCTGAAACAATCCGAAAGAGTTATCCTGCTGTTGCCAGGCTGTGGGCAAACAAGAGGAGCTGCTGCTGCGGAGCCCGAGCTGGGGGAATATCGTGCAGGATGGAACAGATGATGCCGGAGCATGGATGTGGAAAAGCGTGCTGTCTGTAGTGCTGTGAGCTCCCAGCGAGATGCTGCTTGCTAAAGAAAGGTGAAACCCTGCCAGAACCGTAATGACTTCTTAAATAAAACAGGAGTGGGTTTTGTTGGAGAATCTGACTGTCTGAAAGCAGCTCTGGCTGTGTGAGCAGTGCCAGGGCTGTCTCACGGAGCAGGAGGTGCCCCTGGAGTCCCCCTCGCCCTGGGAGCAGCTGCTTCCTTCCCCTGGCCCTGGCTARKCAGGGAAGGGCTCTAAGGGCAGCCYGAGTCACCTTTAGGCTCCTGTAAAACCCCAAACAATGCTGTTTGTCCTGCTCCCTGAGGGCTCTTGGGCTGGCCAGCATCAGGAGATGTGGGGCTGGATGGATCCTCCCAGGGACATCTCCTGCACTGCAGCTTTGGGAGCAGCGGGGTCCTGCACCCCTCATAATCCTGATATTTTGGGGGTTTTTTAAGGAAGCCTTGAGAATGTGTTGCAAATGTGTAGAGCTGGGGAGAAGGCTCTGGGGCAAGACTCAGCCTTGCCTTCGCAGGGAAGGTCCCCCGTTGATTTCTGGGCTTTTCCTTCCCCTCTGCTGCCGGAGCTCCCGGCAGGATGCTGAGCTCTGTTCCAGGAACATCCCTGCTCCTGCAGCAGAGTGTTTCCTTTACTGAACATCCACAGACTTGGCCAGTGATGTTGCACAGCTCTCTTTTTTTTTTTTTTTTTTTCATTTGTTCGAAAGGTCTGTGTTTAAAATAGGAAACACAATGCCAGGTTCCTGGGTTTTTTCTTCCCTCCCAAGAATGAGGTGAATAGATGGGCACCTCTGGGCTATGTCTGCGTGAATTCAGTGACTCCCGGGTGATATCTGCAGCATCACCCCTGTGTGGGGATGGGACCAGACAAAAGAGCTGACAAGTGCCACGGCTTTATCTGATGCTTTTGCAAGCAGCTTCCATTTCAACAGATACAACAAATTCAACAAACASGGCTGGCAGTGAATGTGGAGTCATTTTCTGGGTGCCACCACAAGCAGAATAAGAATGGAYAGGTTAAATGTGGGAGCAGGAGCAGTAACTGAGGCAGGGCAGCTCCATCTCCTGTTGGGTCCCACCTTCCCTGGAGGGAGAATGTCCTTCCCCTGGGGCTCTGCCTGCTGGCACTTAAACACAGAGACAATTTCTGCATTGTGGAAAAGGTGGCAGTGGACACTTTTTCTGGGATCACTGTTTGAATTGTGGGATCGCTCACTTTAATGTGTGAATTCTCGAGTTCAGGACTAGGCT